CAGTGTCACACCAGGACTCCTGGTATGCAATTGGCTTCTTGAATTTGTGCCTGATTAGTTCTGGAAAAAAATGCTAATGCTGGTCTTTGCTAGAGATTATCACTCTGAAGAAGTTTTTGTATTCTAGGGAAAGTCAGCTTGATCTAAATGACTGTAGTTTGGTCTAAGTATCTTCTGGCCAGAAAGCAGTCTATATTTGACATGTAGCTGAGTTTGCCAAATGGCAAATTCCTCTAAATTGCTGTTTGCATTGTGAGATCCTTTGGGACTTGAGCATCAGGTTAAAAACATTGGAAGGAGGTGTTGGAGTACCTCTTACCAAAGGTAAAGTGAATCCTTATTTATAACTGCATAACACAGGGAGTGGATCCCTCCTGATGTCTTTTTACACATGCAGTCTCTAAGATTAGAATTAGGAGCCTGTGATGGCCAGTGATGGAAACGCTTAGGTGGTCTACTCTCACAAAGTTCAGTTACCATAGGAAACCAGATCTTGTTAACTTGTGCCATGGCAGTAGCTAAATGGAACAGCTTTTCAAATCAGGGATTGCAGTTCGGGGGCAGGAATGTAAGATTTCTATTGTAAAACCTGTGTAGCATGCTGTGTAAGACAGACATTGAGCCTATTTTGTTCCACCTACCTGGATAGGAAATGCCAGTCTCCAGTGCAAACACTGTAGTGCAATGTTTAAACAGTTGCTTTAGTTTGAAATATAAAAGCATTGTTTTCTTGGCTGTTAAGCAAATTTGAAAACTTTGTTTTCTTTGTGCCCATTTGAAACTCACAAGTTTTGGGTATGATTTCGTTTTCTATAAATCCTGTATCAGAATAACTTGAATTTTGTTAAATGCCATCGAGACTGTTTCAACTCATTGTTGTTGTTGTTGTTATGTGCCGTGAAGTTGGAACCGACTCATAGCGACCCTGTACAGGGTTTCCGAGGCTGTAAATCTTTATGGGAGCAGAACGCCTCATCTATCTCCCACGGAACAGTTGGTAGTTTCGAACTGCTGACCTTGCGCCTCACAGCCCGATTCATAACCACTATGCTACCAGAGCTCCTATATAGGGTTTCTGAGGAGTGGCTGGTGGGCTTGAACTACTGATTTTACAGTTAGCAGACGTGTGCTTACCCTACAGTGCCACATCAGGACCCCAGTAATTTTTTTTTTTTAATAGTCAAACTTGAGTCACTTTTCAGTGGGGGGCTGGGCAGCAGGGGATGAGTAGGGGGGAGGACAGGAACTGCAAGTAAAGGAAACTTGTCAGCATTTGCTCTTTCTAAAGTTAAACACAGTAAGCATTCCCAATGGAAATCCAAGTTTGCATTGATCTTGATAGATCCTCTTACTTCCAGGCTTTTGGGGTTTTTTTTTTAATTATTCTGGCAAACAAGGGCTTGGGAAAATTCAGGTCACCGTAGGAATTAAAATGCAATTAAAATTTTTGTCTTTGTAAATAAGTTACAGGTGCTCATTATCCCCCAATTGCAAAATAAACAGCCAATGAATATGGGACTATTCAAAGAAAATGCTTTGTACTTTTCAGTATTAATGAGCATTTTTAATCAGCTAAAACT